GCCCAGAATTTTTAGTAATAGATTATATCGCGCCGCCAGATATATCGCGCTTTTTCTGTCTCCCGACAAGCGCGATATAACGAGGGACTACTGTATATAGTATTATATATATATCTAAAATTTAAATATTGTAATTGTTGCAGAGAAAGTGAAAAAAGATAAATAATTTTACTGAATAATTTCAAAAAAATCCAAATATTCAATATTATTATTTTTCAATCGATTAAAAATTCTTCATAAAATATAAATATTTTTTATTTAATGTTTTTTTGAATATATAATTAGCAATTTCTAAATTATTAACAAATTCCTATAATATATTTATTTAAATTTTTGAAAACACAAGGGTATTTATCTATTCTGTCCTATGTGACACAATGGCCTATTGAGGATACAAAAATCGATTGTGAATATATGAATGACATTTATCGTTATGTTTCGGTATTCTTACTTGGCACAGATGGATAGGAAAAGCATAGAAAATATCTACTTACTAATTTTAGATTTACATTTTTATTACGTTTATTTAGTAGACAGTAATCTATTTTATATTTAAACCTTCATAAATTTAATCTAAAAATTTTATACAGTATCATTTTTTTAACTTTTTTAATAAATAATTTAATATCCAAATATTTCAATGAATAAATTTGATAACTTTGAATAGCTTCGATGTGAATAAATGTATGTAAAAAAATTAAATTGATTTAATTTGTAATGGTAAACCGGACGAGAAATTCACTAAAAATATTATTCATAGTTAGAAGACACACAAATAAATGCCTTCATAATTTATCTCCATTTTACTCTCAGTGGTTGAGTGGATTACGCTAATAAACATCTCACCCAGTTTATCATAGAAAGTCCTACCGGGAAGCCTTTAAAGATCGCCCATGTGTTGCGATGCCTTATTCCATCCATCCAATCTTTTTTAAACCGTATTAGCACACAATCACACAGTAAAGGCTACTCGTCTTTATGCTCTTTTCAGGTTTTCAGGCTCTTGTATGTCTTCTAATTACGAATCAATTTTTAAATTTGGCTGCTGAATGTCTGATGCAGTTAAATCAACATCCTATCGCTCTGGAATTGAATCATTAATTTATACTGTAGTTCAGTAGGAAAGGATTGCCAATTAATTATTATTGCATTGTTTTTCAAACAAAATATAAGTCTTAAGGAGCTCATTTATTCTTCGTTTCTAAAATTAAACAGTTCATNTTTCCTTTGTTTAAGGGTATTTGGGCAGTTTATTCTCTGTTGTATTCTCAAGTAAACAATACATACAAGTACAGTATAGTATTTTCTGAGGAAACACTCATACTTATTTTTTTAACCCCATTCCCGATAACCTGGCATTTTCACAAACTCGGCCACCCTTCGGTCCACATTAGGCCGGGTTTTCGAGGCTCTACTGTATTTTATTCCTACCATTGTCCTTCAAACTACCATTGCTAGTGAAACAATAAATTCGTCAAGATCTAAATAAGCAAAACAGGTGGACAGATCAATTATCATTTACGTTTTCTTTTGATATTTTAAAAGTTGTTTATTTATTGGATTTTAAGTAACGTTTCCTCATTTTTTAAAGTTTCTATGATTTCGAAATTTCACACCTTATGTGAATTGACACAATATCGTCAATTCACATAAAGGTATGAAATTTCGAATTCACCGCGTAATGTATAAAGAAAAGATTTTTTTATTTCTGAACGGAAAGTTTTAAAATTTTTATACAGTAGTATAAAAATTTTGCTTTTTAGAAAATTTTTACTCTGTAATTTTTAAAGTTTTGATGTTTTATTATATGTTCAATATTTATTTTTTAAAATTTCGATTACTGTATTTATAATTTCTATTAAAAAATATACATTACACGAATTTTTAATAAGCGATTTATTATGAAATATAGTATTGTATAATAAAATCACAACTGATATTTTGTTTTTATATCGACAGTATTTGTCTTTAAATGTCATTGTTAAAGAAACAATAATGCTAAATGGACGTTTGTGGTATCGATGTTTACGTAAACGTCAATTAATACTATATAACCATGAATAAAATTCAATATTGCAAAACTAATTTTATTTTATATCAGAACCATTTTCCGATGAAAGAACAGAGAATAGAGATTGCATAGCATGTATAATCTTTTTAGTAAAAGCCCAGAATTTTTAGTAATAGATTATATCGCGCCGCCAGATATATCGCGCTTTTTCTGTCTCCCGACAAGCGCGATATAACGAGGGACTACTGTATATAGTATTATATATATATCTAAAATTTAAATATTGTAATTGTTGCAGAGAAAGTGAAAAAAGATAAATAATTTTACTGAATAATTTCAAAAAAATCCAAATATTCAATATTATTATTTTTCAATCGATTAAAAATTCTTCATAAAATATAAATATTTTTTATTTAATGTTTTTTTGAATATATAATTAGCAATTTCTAAATTATTAACAAATTCCTATAATATATTTATTTAAATTTTTGAAAACACAAGGGTATTTATCTATTCTGTCCTATGTGACACAATGGCCTATTGAGGATACAAAAATCGATTGTGAATATATGAATGACATTTATCGTTATGTTTCGGTATTCTTACTTGGCACAGATGGATAGGAAAAGCATAGAAAATATCTACTTACTAATTTTAGATTTACATTTTTATTACGTTTATTTAGTAGACAGTAATCTATTTTATATTTAAACCTTCATAAATTTAATCTAAAAATTTTATACAGTATCATTTTTTTAACTTTTTTAATAAATAATTTAATATCCAAATATTTCAATGAATAAATTTGATAACTTTGAATAGCTTCGATGTGAATAAATGTATGTAAAAAAATTAAATTGATTTAATTTGTAATGGTAAACCGGACGAGAAATTCACTAAAAATATTATTCATAGTTAGAAGACACACAAATAAATGCCTTCATAATTTATCTCCATTTTACTCTCAGTGGTTGAGTGGATTACGCTAATAAACATCTCACCCAGTTTATCATAGAAAGTCCTACCGGGAAGCCTTTAAAGATCGCCCATGTGTTGCGATGCCTTATTCCATCCATCCAATCTTTTTTAAACCGTATTAGCACACAATCACACAGTAAAGGCTACTCGTCTTTATGCTCTTTTCAGGTTTTCAGGCTCTTGTATGTCTTCTAATTACGAATCAATTTTTAAATTTGGCTGCTGAATGTCTGATGCAGTTAAATCAACATCCTATCGCTCTGGAATTGAATCATTAATTTATACTGTAGTTCAGTAGGAAAGGATTGCCAATTAATTATTATTGCATTGATTTTCAAACAAAATATAAGTCTTAAGGAGCTCATTTATTCTTCGTTTCTAAAATTAAACAGTTCATTTATTTTTTAGAGAGATTAATGCAATAATTAGAAATAAAATTTTCCTTTCATAAAAAAAATACCAATAATAGAAATGTAAATCATAATTTATATTAAATAAAAAACAAAATAATTCAATATTAAATTAGTTTATTTTAAATATTTGTATATTAAATTCATATACGATGTAGATACGTGAATTATTGTGAAATAGTTGTATGAAGTTATTATTAATCATAATCGATATAAATACAGGCAGGCCCAAAAGTCAGTTAATTTAGATATATATTTTGACGATTATTTTAAAAAACGGTTAAAACATGATCCGGTTACTTCACTGGAAATTACTAAATCATTTTTAACCATTCTTAAAATAATCTTAAAATATACTTCGATTAATTAATTTTCGGGCCACTCTATATTTAACCGATATGTTTTTTATTGCCGAAAGTAAATCTTCCCGATCTAATAAACAGCAAATAATAAATTTTGATTGTAATTCATTCATAGACGTGGCGTTTTCCGAGCTTTCTCACGTGTCAAACGTCTAAATAGAGGCCAGTTTCCCACAGAAGTCCTTTTGGACGGCACCCCAAGGCAGATCTCTCTGGGGTTGCGTTACCTTATGTATCAAACCAATCCAAACTTATTCGATACAGGTACTTTTGACTTCATTTCGTCCAGTGTGTGCCAGAAGTGTATGCCAATTTTAAACAATTTTACAGAAAAGCCAACAGAAAGTTCAATACTATAAAAAAATTTAATTTATGTTATATTGATCTGATTTTTCAATGGTAACTTTTTCATAGAAGTTTTTTCATTGAAAATATTGTTGATTTTATAACTTTACTCACTTGTCAGTTAAAAGAAAAGTGAAATATGACTTTACAGCACGGATCCGACATCTGCATGTTGAGAAAAGACTTTCAGATTTTCATTCCTAACAATTTCTGAAAACCTTTTGTCTGCATCTGATCATAATTTATGACTTCCTAAATCTGTCTTGGCAAAATTGCAAATTAATAGCATAATACTAACCTACATACAGGCCAAAGCTAAGTGATAAGGCGTTATAAAATCAATAACGCCAAGCAGACATTATAATTATAATTTTTAATTAAAGTATAAATATAAATCATTTATTTAAAAAGGAACAAATCTAATATGTTTTCTAAAATTATATATTTATACAGTCAAACCTCCAATAATAGTCATCTTCGAATAGTGGCCATTTTTTCTTTTCTTTCTTGTTTGCATCAGTGGCGGTTGTTCAAAGGTTTGATTGTATTAAAAAGTTTTTACAATAATTGATGAATACATTAAAAATGTTCTGGAAGAAAATGTAATTTGTGTGAAAATTTTATAATTCTCAAAATCAGAAAATGAGATTTAAATTATTTATTATCAAAAACACCCTAGAAATAGGCCCAGGCCCACTTACATTATACATTAAAACATTCATAAAATTACAATAAATTAAAAATAGTTCAATGAACTTTAACAACCTTTAAAAAATCAATTAAATTCTTAAATAGAAGTAATAAAATTAGTTATTTAGGTCAAAAGTAAAACTTCAGCAATAAATTAAAAGTATACATTAATATAATTATAACTTTTATTTTAGTGGAAAAATAACGAAAATAGGATCATTTAGATAAAAAAAAGTATTACTATATTTTGCTATAAACCGCTTTTCTTATTAAATAAGGAAAAATTACCAGGGAAGTTAATTTTTCCACATATACTTGGCGTTTCCTTAACATTCTTCAGTAGAAAATAGGCCTATAGAATTCAATGGATAAAAATTTCTATGCTATTTAACTATTAAATGAAATTAATAAATATTATAATTTATTAATCATAATTTTGGTGATTTAAATAAAATTTTAATAATAATTCCACTAGACATCACATCACAATTTTCACCTAATTCGACATCACGTTACATATAAGACAAGAGACGTCTACATATAAACTACCCGTTACAGGTAATAAACAAAAGGAAAAAAAAGAATGAAATTGGACAACTGCTGCTAGATTTATACTTTCGTCTAAATCAATAACGCCAAGCAGACACTCTTACGCACCACATTCTTTATATACAAACTTTCGTTTATATACAATATTATTATACAATTCGTAGAAGGCACTTGCAATTGCCATCTGAAAAATAAAATATTCTTAGCGTATAAAAGCTATTTTAATTTTTCTTTTTTCTTTTTTCTTCTTTTCGTCTTTTTTCTCTTCTTCCTTTTCTTCTTTTCTTTGTTGAGGAGGTTGATAATCTTCATCGTAAATTTGTTTTGTAAGTTTGCAATCGATTAGAAACGATGCCACTAAAGGTAAACGCCATTTTCCTTTTTGTTTCGGTTTTGGCATTCCGAAAAGCATCAGTTTATACATGGCAACTCTTGTCGGAGTAACATTAATTGTGATTTTATTGTCCTTTTCTTCTCTTGAAATGATTCCTTTGCTGTCCATTTCTTTACCATCGACATCAAACAACTGATGTGTGAACAGCATGTTATCCGAAATTTGTATCACTAGTTTTTTCTTCCCACCCCACGATACGATCATAGGACCAGACTGATTAACTAATCGCATGTTATAGTCATAAAAACTCTGTGTCGGTCCCCATGGTACTTCGTTAAGGGGGTAAGGTTGAAGATACTTCTTGGCTTGAAGACATTCGATGAGGAATATGATAATATTGTGAAGACTGGTATCCTCTTTCATTTCTTTTTCAGGTTTGGCATATATTTTGAAATAATACCTTCCTTCTACGGGTGGAGTGATTGCAAAAGATCCCACAAGACGGTCTTCTTTTAATTGACAGAATACATAATTATTCAGTGATGCATTTTCTATCTCGTCTACGGGATACATTTTGTATTTATATCTGAGAGGTTCGTGAGAGGCTAGTTTAATTTCTTTATGTACTTTGAACACAACTGGATTCGTCGGCTTGGAACGTATCTTTATGTTATAGTCAAAGAAAAATGGTGTCACTTTAGGTAAAGTGTTAAATTCATCCAATGATAAAGGATTGTCTAAAAGTTGCCACCTTAAAATAAAAATAAAAATTTAAATTAAAGAAAATTTAATAAAACTTTAGAATTTTTAAAAATAAGGCAATAATAATAACGCCTTTTTTCTAATGAATACATTATTTTATTTTAAAAAAAGAAATTTAAAAATTGAAATGAGAACGATTAAAGTAACTAACACGAAAGTAATACGAGAAAATATTTTATCTTTAAAAATATTAAAATATGTCAGCTGTCATATTAGAATAGTCAGATGTTCTAATTTTTAGCAAATCGTTGAGTGAGTGGATAAAATCACTGAAAAATAATAGTTAGTCGCGAGTTCTCGCTTGATCAATGGTCTGTCTACATGGTGTCTTCGGGATTTTCTTCACGTGTCTAACAAACTAAATAGGGACCAATTTTCCGTAGAAAGCTTCCAGGGAGATAACACCCGGCAGATCATCCAAATGTTTTGCCTTATTCTATCAATTTTGTACAGTCAAAACATTGTTCTGTCCCTTTACCTTTTATACAATTAAAATAGTGAATAATTAATCATTTTTAAGTTAAACTTTTCAAAATTATTCAAAATACATTTGTCCTCTTGGGAAAATAATTTTGTGAAGTTTTTAAAACAATTATTTTTCAGATATTATCTTGTGGGCCTATTTTTTTAACTGTCATTCTAAAATATGTTATTAATAATTCTTTAATGCGTTTTGTCGTGAATGTCGAAATTCGACAATTCCAACAGATCTTATTGAGTTACTAATAAAATCTTTTGCTATGACACTAAAATTAATTGCATTCGAGATATGAAAGTAAAATTCAGCAAGGTATTTCTTTTAAATTACAGAATAAAACAATGGAGGAAACCTAATTTCATAATTCTTCGAAGGGTGGGGCAAAGATGAATCAATTGGAAAATCCATAGCAGACTAATCTTCATGATAACAGCTGTTCATTGTCTACATTTAGATTTTATTTGCAGCCTACTACTAACTTAGATATTTTAATCGATATTTAAGTCTATAAATTATCTACTGTGGGTTGTTATGCATTCCTTTTAATTTTTATTATAAAGATTTATAATATAATATCTATTAAAGATGATTTTGAAGAATGGATACAATGAAATCGATAATTTTAAAATGAAAAGTATAGGATAAGTTATTTGTTTTATAACGTTTTCCATTGTTGGTTTTTGCATTCTAAACAGGCTACAATTTATATAATTTAAGACCAAGATATCTATTTTTTTCATGAAATTTATGATTAATATTTCCAGCCTCTTTTCGACCAGTTACAAAAAAGTAAATTTTCCATCAGTCACGCTTGTTATTATTTGTTTTTCTTCTCAAACATTTTAGCAAAACAAACATTATAATGTCCAAGTATAATGTCCAAACTGTTTATTGACGTACGACGAATCAATTAATTTTGTCAAGAAACATTATTGATCATTTTAATTTTACGATGAATACTATTATTGTTACTATTACTTTATAATAGAACAAATATTCTAAAGAACTATGAATTCTGTTACATGGCCCACCAGTGACCGATTGAATAAAAACATCGAACACTCGTCGTGAGTTCGCGCCTTATAACGGATTTTTTCCGAGTAGTTTCTCTGGTTTTCTCCACGTGTTTAACATCTTAATAGGAGCCAATTTCCAATAAAATTCCTCCCGGGAAGCATAGACCCTTGGCAGATCGCCCATGTGTTGCGTTGCCCTATCTCATGAAAGCAATCAATCATGCTGTTACATTTACTTTAGGAAGATAAATCGCTGTTCTCCTATAACAATGAAAGGAAAATATTCCAAATTTCGTGTTTTAAAATAATCAGTTCAGTGTTTTTGGTCTTTAAACGCATTTGTGCTACGGATAAAATTTTTAAAAAATTAAAATGATAATATCTGCTACTTTTTTGTAAAATATTTATACAAGCGACAATAGTAGAAATTTGGATCAACTGAATGCAGTTATTAATTCAAATAAACTGAATTTAACTCATGAATATTCCTTCATAATCGGAAAGTAATGGTATTTTTAATAGAGCATGACATTTTCCGTTTTCACTATATGCGAACTTTTATTCCTTCAAGTTAAAGATTAATAGACAAAGAATTGTACAGTACGCCAACCTGTTTCTTGTTTTCTTTCATCCAATATAATTAAGTTAACATTCCGAAATCAGTTTCGTTAAAATTTTTTGTCTTTTATCTCAACTGATAGGTCTTTTCATTTAAATTTGTTCTCTTTTAATGTTAACAGCACGAGCATGGTCCAAGTGATCCAAAAGCCCTTTCACATGATAGTCATTAGATAGTTTCTTCTATGCAGAGCCGGGATAAGGGTGAGGCAAAGGAGACACTTACTTCATTCGAACAATGGAAAAGGGTGCCAAATTGGTAAAAAATGAAAATTAATAAATTGCAAAATAAAACAAAAAAATTAAAATTGAAATGTATTTTGCAATGGTCTTCGAATACTTTAAGCACACTAACGATTTGTATCAGACACTCCAGCTCGATATACTCCTTTTCTCTTATTATATCGCCCTAATAAGCTTTAGCCTTAAACATCCAAATAATATAAATTCTGTAGAATTATTATCAAAAATAATCAGTTTCAGAAAAAAATAGTTTAAAAAAATCAGGCAATGACGTTAATTCCAGACCTTAAAGCAGCTACAAGTTTAGATCTTTTAGAAACGATTCATGAATTTAGTTCGGTCCTATCCAAATTTAAAAGATGCATTGAGATGCAATACTCCTAACACTACCTGTGACTCTAGCTTCTGGTGGAAGAGGCTTCAGTGAACTAAAAATTATCAAAACATATTTAGAATCGTCACTTGATCAGGAAAGTTGTCAAATATGACAATATTTTATCTATCAATCGAACAGAAATTTTGATATAATAATTGATGAATTTGCTTCGCTAAAAGCAAAGAAAGTAAAACGTTAAAAAATATTCTATATTGGGCATTTATTTATACAGTATAAGTATTATAGATATTATTTTGTCTTTATTATTAAATTAAATTACTGATTAATTTGTAATAATTCTAATTCATCTTATGGCTAATACTTATTTTGTTTTTCTTTTGTTAAGGTTGCTGTGATTTTATCTGTAATATATGTAATTTTATGTTTCTACTATTATTATACTGTTACTGCGTTCTGTATTTTTTTTATTTAATAATTAATAAATGTAGTTTGTTCCCAAAATCATTTATTTATTTATTTTTATTCAATATTTATTAGAAATGAAAAACTATATGTATGGGCGAAAATTTATCCTTTTGCCTCAGGTCAAAATACCTCTAGGCCCGGCTCTGCTTCTATGTATTTTATTATGTAAATATCATCAGCCATTTTAAATTGAAACTGTATTTTTAATTGTTGGCATGTCACCAGTGAACATTTTATTATTATTGTACAATGTTTCGTACACAAACAGGGTAAATGGCTCAATTCTTTCCTAAATACATTGTATAATATTTTTTATTGCTAAATTCATTGTTTAATTTAACAAAACCTTCATTTAATTAAGTTAACTCTTATGTAGCCCATTTGGAATCATCAAAAATATTAAATGGTTAAACTTTTGCAACTGACGGAAATAAGCAATTCCATCAATTGTAATCCAGATATTCCTCTGGAAAAGGCATAAGTAATACTAAACCTATGTTAAATTATTATTGGAAAGTATGTATTTGCTGTACGGTTTAAAAGTACCATCTTGTCTTTAATGTTATTGCAAGTTGCAATGACACATGGAAATTGTTACTCTGCACTTTTGTATAATGTATATATTTGTCACTCTGTATTTTATACTTTTGTACATATGTTGTTTGAATTAACGCAGAAGCAGATGCCCCTGGGGTTCCATGGGGGTGCCATGATACTCTTTTTTTCACACTGTCCTATCCTTCTAACTTTCATCTTCCATCTTTTTCTTACTTTACTAAACTCTTCTTTCAACTTCAAAACAGGGCTAAGTCTTCTGCTAAATAAGACAGCCCTACTTAACTTTCTTTGTTGAAGTGAACATTTTATTGAGGGCAGTTGATTTGTTTAATTAAAACATTTAAAGTGCATACATAAGGTCTAAGGAATGTTATAAAATGGGGGAAAGTTTTAGTTAGCATCAAAACTTCATTCTTAACGAAAATTGGTTACATTTATTTTAAATATGGTGAAGGCATCGAGGATTTATTGGGAAAACACTTTCAGGCTATTTTAAGCAAGTTTTCTGTAGGATTTATACGGTAAGATTGCAATTGTACCATTTATATAAACCTGCGGTGAATTTATATAAACCTAAAGTATGTTCTTGTTAAAAATTTATGTAAATTAAAAATATTTGTAAGATTGTAGTGTAATACAGACGTACACTGAGGAGGAGATTTGTTCTGGAAAAGCGTTTATACTGTACATGAAAACTTTTAATGCTTGGAAATAAATGTTCTTTGGTAAGTTTATTGATGTTATACCGGATGATCCAGTTTGACATAAGTCATAGCAGCCGTTTGTTAAAGGTATATTAATAATACCTCATAAATTCCTGCACCAAAAAATAAATAAATAAATAAATATAAAAACTTGTACTAAATTAAAGGGAAAAAATCCAGTTCACTGTAGCAGAAAAAAATAAAATTTGCATTCTTGACACAACAAATGACTACCATGTCGAAGGACTTCTGTATCATGTTCGTAAGGTTAACATTAAAAGAGAACAAATATAAATGAAAAGACTTATCAGTTCAGACGAAAGATAAACAATTTTCACGTAACTGATTTCGGAATCGTTAACTCAATTACTCGTATATTGGATGAAAGAAAACGAGAAACAGGCTACATACAATTCTTTGTCTATTAATTTTTAAATGTAAAAATAAGTATTAATAATAACAATACAGGATTTTTTTACAGGATCTGTCATTAAACATTTTCTCAGTCATTTCTAATTGAAAAAAATTTTCACGATCAAGAATTTGCCAAAATTACATTTACAAATTTTAAATTTAATTATGCAATTAAACATACGTTTCTATATAAATGTTAGAATTAAAGAAAAATTTGTAAACCTGCTATAATTTTTCTCCACTTCATCGTATGGAAAATGAGTCCAGATTAAAACTTCTGGATCCGTCAGAAAAAAATGTTCATTTAGTTTCCTCTGAAATCTTCCTGTATGATCAGTGTAACCTGAAATTTTATAAAATACAAAACATTGATAATAATACGTGTTCTGATATATACAAAATTTAAAATAATAAAAGAACATTTTATTAACGGATAATCTTTAGTTATATGAACTGAAAAACTGTTGAATCTAAGGGAATTCCATAACATTCTATCTTATACTATGCTCTGGAACTTTCTTATTCCCTGAAGTGAATATAACTAATATAGTTATTCTATATTGGAATAACTGACTATATTGGTTAAATTCAACATTTATTATTACATAGAATTTCATAAAATGAATAAAAATTACTTAATACGAATTTTATTAATATTTTTTAATATTTTACCTTAATATCTAGTTTTAATATCCAAAAAAAGTTAATTACTAAGTTTTGCACTTTAATATAATATTAAATTATTTATTTAGATTAATTCATATAATTATAATACAATCTTTTAAATGTATTTTAATAGATTTGTTGAATAAAGTTGTGTAAGGTCGTATGATGCAGTTTATATGTAATGTCAAACTGTTTTATTAATATTATAGAATAATTCAAAAATAAAGTTTTTTTATAATTAATTTAATAATGATTTTATACTTTAAATCAATTCTACAATACTATGATTTTAGAGTAATTTTTAGAATAGCTGCAAGGAAGATATTTCCTGACACAATAACCCCAATAAAAAAATTAAAATAATAAAAAATATATAAGGTTACATATATTTTATGATATACTTTTAAAGAAAATGAAGTTATAGGCCTATTATAGAAAAATTATAATGATAAATGCATAAAATATTTGCTATAGGACTATAGAACTATAGGAGCAGTTTGATCTTCGCAGTAGGCGACCGAAAGTAGTATATCGTTGTTAATTATTAATATTAAGTAAAAGTACATAGTAAACAATTATATAAACGATTGATTATACGTAATTTTACTGAAAAGTTCTGGTGTAAAAATTACGTATAAGACTATTTTAAGAGTAATCGAAAATTATCTTGATTTTAACTACATCAGCAATACATCTGGCAACGCGTTGAATAAGAGACAGAATAAGATAGGTCAGAATATATAATACAGTAGCCCCTCGTTATATCGCGGATTCGATTATATCGCGCTTTTTTTGGTTACCCAAATTTTAAAAGCATTCGATCAGTAAATTTTAAATTGTCAATTGCCATTGTATTTTTTTTTTTTTTTTTGCAACAAAATATCGTATTTGGCCAGGTGAAATTTTCCGGGTTTTCTTCAAATTTGTAATACCTAAATAAGGGCCAGTTTGCCATTGAAAATTCTCCCGGGAGGCATGCCCTTCGGCAGATCGCCCACGTGCCGTGTTACCGTAAACAACTAATCCAATCTAATCTAATCTTGCTGAAGTAAACTAGGAACAAAAGTTTAACAGCAACGTAAGCAAAAACTCAGATTGTAATTTATGAAAGATTGCATTGAATATTCATGGAAAAAAGTAAAAATTTAAGCAGGATCGTTGAGAAGTTGACTGTTTTCCCGGACCCAGATAATATATAGAGGCCCATAGATTTTTCTATCCTTATAAATCAATTGCTATTTTTACTGTCAAAAAACAAAATCTTCAAGACTGCTTTTTATTGACAAACAAACATTCTAAATATTTCATTTATTCAAAACAAAAAGGGTCTACCCTCGGGTCCCACCAAGCCTTCGGCGACTCTAAAAAGACATAACTGATGTAGGAGTAAAACAGAAGAAAATTAAATTGTTAATTTTAATATTTAAGGTAGAATAAAATCGTAAATTAGCAATAATTTAATTTTACAGTATTTATTTTAATACATTTTCTCCGATGATGTATTCAGTTCACATATCCTGTAAAGCTGTTAATGTCTAAAATAAATTTAAATTACNATTCCCGTCAGGGGCCTTTGTTAAGAGATTCGATTTCATTTTAAAATATTACTTTCTTTATTTCTATTTTGCCAAAACCACTAGTTTTATCTACTACTTGAATGGATGAAACCACTGAAATAGTGGATAAAACCTGTTGTTTTCATTGGTTTTGGCACGCGCTTCATCAACGTGCTAGCCATGTAAACTTTTCCAGATGTATTCTTCACTTGTCTAGCAACTAAATAGCGGTGGCTTTCCCATAGAAAATCCTTCCGGAAAGTCCACCCCTTAGCAGAACCTTGCATTACCTTACTCCATCAATCAATGTGATATTTTGTAAAATATTTAAAGTAAAACCTGTACAAACGGAAACCTGCCTAAGAGGGAGAAAAGTCTTTAAAACGGAGCAGTTTTCTGTTAAAAACTACAAAAAAACGTAAACCTGCCAAACCAGTAATGTTCGATTCCGGTTTACAAAGGTTTTACTGTATATTTTTCGTTCTAAATTTAAAATTTTAAAAATTTACAATGTATTTTTTAATTTAAAAAAGAATGGGGGAGGAGAAAATTTCCACACAATTAAATATGACAATTCAAATTTTTGTTATATTATTTGTATATTATATTTGTATATTATCAGGACTTATTATACTGGTGTTCCCATTTCTGCAAAAAGAGGAAGTCTTATTTAGAAAACACTATACTCTTACTTATACATACAGACAAACTTAGCGTTGGTATTCTTATGCCTTCCTTTTTAAAACGTTCTCAGATATATTTCTGCCTTTATTTTTTCTATTTCCTCTTTTTCCTACTTTTCAAAAGTTCAAAGTAGACAATAATATAACAAGAATTGTATACAATAAGGATATATATGCAAATGAATTAATATTTAACCTTTTTACTAATCAGCAGCCGAAATTCTCATGAATTAGAAGATGCAAAAAGTGGGAAAAATATCATAAGAAATAGAAAAAATAAAGGCAGAAATATGGCAAAATTACTGAAATTGAGAATGATACATGTTCTATATTTTTTTTGTCATATAAAAAGAAATCCAGCAAAGAGTTGCTTAACTTTTTCGGTAACATTTGGTAGCGCTATCTGTTATGATATTATATTATTAAAAAATTTTTTATATTTTTAACTATTATAAAATGGCGAAAAGCTCAATTTTGAGGGTATGGATGGATTTTATTTTAAAAAAAATTGTAAATGCTAATAACAAGTACAATTTTTTATAAGTCCGACCACACTCTAGATACGACACGTGACCCGCTATATCTCCTCATCCCCTTGACCTTTAATCACCAAAATTTACTAATATCAATGCCCCTAATACATAAAAGTTTCTACAAAATTTCAGAAATTTTCGACAAAAAGCAGAGGAGTTATTAAGCTTTAAACAGGTTAAACAAATTCGTGCTCACCCACACTAATAGAGAAATTATGCCCGAATTTTTTTTTTTTTTTTTTTTTTGCAACAAAATATCGTATTTGGCCAGGTGAAATTTTCCGGGTTTTCTTCAAATTTGTAATACCTAAATAAGGGCCAGTTTGCCATTGAAAATTCTCCCGGGAGGCATGCCCTTCGGCAGATCGCCCACGTGCCGTGTTACCGTAAACAACTAATCCAATCTAATCTAATCTTGCTGAAGTAAACTAGGAACAAAAGTTTAACAGCAACGTAAGCAAAAACTCAGATTGTAATTTATGAAAGATTGCATTGAATATTCATGGAAAAAAGTAAAAATTTAAGCAGGATCGTTGAGAAGTTGACTGTTTTCCCGGACCCAGATAATATATAGAGGCCCATAGATTTTTCTATCCTTATAAATCAATTGCTATTTTTACTGTCAAAAAACAAAATCTTCAAGACTGCTTTTTATTGACAAACAAACATTCTAAATATTTCATTTATTCAAAACAAAAAGGGTCTACCCTCGGGTCCCACCAAGCCTTCGGCGACTCTAAAAAGACATGACTGATGTAGGAGTAAAACAGAAGAAAATTAAATTGTTAATTTTAATATTTAAGGTAGAATAAAATCGTAAATTAGCAATAATTTAATTTTACAGTATTTATTTTAATACATTTTCTCCGATGATGTATTCAGTTCACATATCCTGTAAAGCTGTTAATGTCTAAAATAAATTTAAATTACTGAAAATTTATATATAATTAGTTAAAATAGAAATGACACAACTTCAATAAAGTTTAACTATAAATTTATATACGCTTTAGTAGTTACAGAATTTATAGCATGGAAATGAAAATAACATAGAATAATACTGTAAACTTTAAATGAATTTTATTAAATTAATGTCTAATACTATAAATAATTTTGTTTGTGTTTTTATAATTATAATATTTTAAAATATATTTTTATACTTATTTGAGACATCGAGATATCTTGGAGCAATATTTGTGTTTTCTAAGCATTAGATTAGCCTTTAAAATAGCGATGGTTTATGTTTGTACTTTAGTTATTCGTGATATAAAATACTATATCACAGTATTTAAATTTGGTTATCTCTTAATTTTTAAACATTTTGTACATTTGTAAGACAATTTTAATATCAAATTTTTAATGATATTCTTTAAAATTGTGGTTAAATTGTTTTTATTTTATATTAAGAAAAATGAATCGTGAGTAGAATTTGAAGCATATAATAGAGAACGGATTTATTTGAGCAAGGTTATCATATCACATTATACATGATTTTTTAATGTGATTTATATTACCATAGATTTTTATTCATAAGTTTTAAAGATAAATAATATGGCATGACACGAGTAACTTGTTGCAAAATATATTTGAATATGACTACAGATTTTCCAAATGCAATGCTCAAAATGAATGTAAATTTAATGAATGTAATCAGTTTTCTCATAGAATATATTCACTCTTTAATAATAATCTCTGAGGGATCCGGATTTGAATCCATAATTTCATTTTTATCTATTTATGATTCCTCTACATTGAGCAAAATTGAAATCAACATTGCATTTTTCTTCAGATATCAGAACAATCTACTACTATTACGTGTATATATAATAAACATTTACATATTTATGTAATTATATTTTTATAATATATCAGGTTATTAGCTCTTGGTATTTTGAAGAGAATGCTTAG